ACGATTATGATGTCTAAATTGACACAGCCGACCTGGAGCTCAGGAACGTCGACGAACGTCATCTTTGTGGGACTCTCTCAAAATTCACGCGGGGAAGGAGGGCAACTAGGCGATCGGGTTTTTTTTGGGTCGCTGAATCCAAATATGGCATCGGCGAATAGCCCCCGGACACCTGGTGCGCCCAAACCTCGACCTGGACGTCATCTTCGAGAATTTTCCTCACAATATCGACAAGAACAACCCGAAAATGACTGAGCGGAGTTTTTTGGGGCGCTGAATCTAAATTTCACGTCGAAAACGACCCCCTGAACACCTGGTGCATAGAAACTTAGCACTGAACGTCATCCCCGAGGGGTTTCCAGGCCCAATTGAAAAAGACGAACCGAATGAGTGCTATGCTATTTATATAAACAATGTTAATATGTCAATTTCGTCAATTCTGGTCTTACTTTAATTCAATAAAAAAAAGTTCTCAACTCCCTGATCAAATGACACTGGACGACAAAATAGGTAACGATGGTAAATCTATTTCTACGCTATTTGCTGAATATTTTTGTAAAAATTATATTATTAATCATAAATTAAACCCAGATAACTATCATTTAAATTTTTCCTCCTCAGTTGATATTGGACCCATATGTTTTTTCATTGAGGATATATTTAATGGTATTGGTTCCTTAAGTGATAAACTAAGCAGTGGTCCTGATGGAATTCCATCGTACTTCCTAAAACATTGCATTTACTCTTTATGCAAACCACTACATATAATGTTTAATTTATCACTAAAACTTCAACAATTTCCTAACTCATGGAAAGAAAGTCATGTTATACCTGTATTCAAAAGCGGATCCAAGCAGGAAATTCAGAACTACAGACCTATTTCGATTCAATCCTCGATTCCAAAATTATTGGAGAAGCTGGTAAATAATTGTTTATCTTGGCACTGCAAAAACTTACTTACTGATCAGCAGCACGGTTTTACAAAAGGAAAATCTACTACAACTAATCTTGTTATTTATCACAATTACATAATAAATTCTGTAGAAAACGGTTTGCAAGTAGATGCCATATATTCAGACTTTTCTAAAGCCTTCGATCAAGTCAATCACGAATTACTATTATTCAAACTGCAAGCCTACGGATTCCCTCCCTTTCTTCTAGAGTGGCTTAAAAGTTATCTCACTGGTAGAGTACAGCGTGTCAATATAAAGAATTATTTGTCTGATCCCATAGAAGTTTCTTCTGGTGTACCGCAAGGGGCCCACTTAGCTCCATTATTTTTTAATCTATTCATTAATGATGTTGGATCTGTTTTTGAATATAGTAATTATCTGCTATTTGCTGACGATTTAAAGATTTACTTAAAGATTAACAGTGGTGATTGCTGTAATAATATTGAAATAGATTTCCATGCCTTATGTAAATGGTCTAACCCTAAACACTAGTAAGTGTTACTGCATTACTTTTACAAAAAATCATAATCAAATAACACATAACTACTCTCTAAATAACAATACATTAATTAAACGTGTTACCGAAATTAAAGACCTGGGAATCGTATTTTGCTCAGATCTTTCGTTTAATAATCATATCAATCTTATAGTTAATAGAGCAATGAAAATGTTAGGCATGCTGATAAGAAACTCTAGCTCGTTATCTTTAGATGCCTGTAGAATGGTTTATATTGCATATGTGCGGTCCATTTTGGAGTACAGCTCTACCATATGGTGTCCATTTTACATAAATTCTGTTAAAAGGATTGAAAATGTCCAAAATAAATATATACGATATTGTGCCTTTAAAGTTGGTCTAGCAGCAGGTATATATAATTATTCCACAATTCTGGACTTAATAAACCTCCGAACCCTTGTTAATAGAAGAATATTGATGGATCTATCATTCCTCCATAAGATCATAGCCGGGATTATTACTTCTGATGAGTTATTAGCTATGATTGAATTTAGAGTTCCCACAAGAACTACAAGAAATAATAGTTTATTAGCCATTCAACTTCACCTTACCAATTATGCTTATCATGCACCTCTACCTAGACTAATGCGACTGTCTAATCAATACAATTTAGACATCACTGGGTGTTCTATTAGTCAATTTGTTTTTAATATCTTTAGTTTAGTTTATTACATTTCATATATGAAATTTTAGATTTATTTGCCTACCTTTTTTAATGTACTTAAGCTATTTTATGTAATTTATTGATACTAATAGATTTTTCCGTAATATATATTTATTTATTTAAAATCGTTAAAGGGGGTTTTTTGGGGCACTGAATCCGAATTGTACGTGGAAAACGACCCCCCGAACACCTGGTGCGCCCTAACTTGGCCCTGAACGTCTTCACCGAGGTTCTTCCAGACCCAATTGAAAAAGACGAACCAAAAATCGTTTAAGGGAAGTTTTTGGATCGCTGAATTCAAATATGGCATCGGCGAACACCGCATGGACACCTGGTGCGTCTGAACCTAGACCTGGACGTCATCTCCGAGGCGTCAATACTGCAATAGCTGGGTGCAATTGTTGATTCTAGATTACGTGAGGCGGAAAGAAAGAGAATGAATAGAAACGCAATATTTATGTAATTTACGGTAGAACAATTTTTATTGGCCTCAAATCGAATACAATGAACCTGTAAGTTTGTCATTCCTTAATTAATTAATAACTCAAATGTGTCTGGTCATTTTCTTCGTTATCGACTGATGTATTCATACGGGGAACATCTCCCTCATCTGAGGCCTCTGTCTTTGGCACATTAACGTTTTCATCTGAATATCTTTTAGTGTTAAGGCAAGTTGAACCTTCACAAATTTTACAGGCAAGATTGCAAGGTAGGCCGTGCTTCCTGCAACTACAGGTGTTCAGATTACAATCTCTCCTTTGCATCCACAGAATATTAGTTCCATATTATTCTTGGGCGCAGGTTTTTCTTCCATCTGTACAGGCACTAGTGTGTCGCCTTCCTTTCTCCACCCCCATTTTGTTGGGTCCATGGTCAGCTGGTCTCCGTGCAGCCATTGTTGTACTTGAAAATAAACCCTCTTTAGATGTTGTTGAATGGCGTCTACTGTAGGGAGAATTTTTGCCAAATTTACTCTCCCCGTCGCAGCGGTTCTCCTGTACATTTCAATTGGGTCTGGAAAACCTCGGTAAAGAAGTTCAGGGCCAGGTTAGGGCGCACCAGGTGTTCGGGGGGTCGTTTTCCACGTGAAATTCGTATTCAGCGCCTTTTTCAATTGTGTCTGGAAACCTCTCGGGAATGACGTTCAGGGTCAAGTTCCAGTGCACCAGGTGTTCAGGGGGTCGTTTTCGACGTGAAATTTAGATTCAGCGCCCCAAAAAACTCCGCTCAGTCATTTTCGGGTTGTTCTTGTCGATATTGTGAGGAAAATTCTCGAAGATGACGTCCAGGTCGAGGTTTGGGCGCACCAGGTGTCCGGGGGCTATTCGCCGATGCTATATTTGGATTCAGCGACCCAAAAAAAACCCGATCGCCTAGTTGCCTTCCTTCCCCGCGTGAATTTTGAGAGAGTCCCACAAAGATGACGTTCGTCGACGTTCCTGAGCTCCAGGTCGGCTGTGAGTCAATTTAGACATCATAATCGTTATCAGCGACCTCGAAAACCCCCGAGCACCCGATCTGGGCTAGTTCTGACACTTATTTAACAAGGTTAGGTACATTAGTTAAAAATTTTGTTGTCATTTTTCTTATTTTTCTATAATTTTAAGTATATTTGGATTTTCGATCAATTTATTTTCTATCAAATCTATTTTCGATTAATTTTCTTTTCGATTATTTTTTTGTTCGATCATTTTTGTTTTCGATCAATTGTTATTCAATAAAATGTTTTTTCGTTCAAATGTTTTCGATCAATTTTGTGCCACCCATAAATCTGTTATGCTACACAGGCCACAATATTTTTGGGTAATAGCCAGAGTTGCCACGAAATGTAAATAAAGCACACAATTTGTTTCAAAAAAGGACTGTAGGTCATTCCTAATAATAGTTTTTGGTGCTGCATAAAAGAGCTTGGAGGGCCGCACAAAATAGCTTGGAGGGCCGCAGGTTGAGTATGGCTGGGTTAGACGATTCAGAACAACAGCATCTGATGTGAATAAAAAGGCAACTGGTAAACCGAAAACCACGCGAACTCCACATACTACAGCAATATCCATAAATACAGTGACCGAAGTGTTTCCTGGCACGGTAATTTCCATAAAAGGCGATATTCCATTTCCTCCATGCTCCCCAGACCTAACGCATCTGGATTTTTTCCTATGGGGATACTTGAAAATTATCGTATACATGGAATCGATGCCACAAAACATCCAGCAGCTAAAGGACCTATTCAACCATAATGCTATACGTGGCATACCCGTGGCGATATGTCAGAACGTTTTCCGCAGCTTACGCTCCAGATTAACAGCTTGCTACGAAGAAGACGGTCGGCATTTAAACGATATTCTGTTTAAACACTTAATCCGCATATTTACTCTGTCTAATAATGCTAATAAACCTGGTATATCATGTTCCGGGGGTAAGTTTTATTGCGTTAAACCCTTAAATTTATTACCGGACAATGCTGTCATCTTGAAAAAAAAAAAGGATTAGTATTATTAAACATACGTTGGTCTGCCCAACATATGTGCTATTTCTAGATATTAGAAAATGGACATTTCTTAATTTGGCCGATTGTTTGTTAAAGTTTAAATATTTAGTGTTGTAGTTGTCAGGAAACACTGAATACATGAGTGTGTAATACTGGTTGCCTACCGTTACGAAAGCCATATATTAGAGAAAGCTAAAACAATATAGGAGGTTCCTTCTTAATTTTTATATAGTTTGAGTTATTCGCTCATAGTTGACTGACAACATAGTAAATAAGACCAAAATCAAAATTAAATAAAATGTAACAAAAAACAAATTTTATTCACTAAAAATTATGATAAATTAATAAAATACAATTAAAATACTATTATGATAATATCACCAATAAAGTCTTAAAAATTGTTATTTGTTTAACCAGTAATTAGAAACTGAGTTAAAAAGATTTTAAACACTATTTTTTAGAACTTAAGTATTCGATAATTGTTTTAACAATAAAGTTAAGTTATATTTTTAAGTCACTGTATAAATTTTTTTAATGTAAACTTCAATGTTTTTATTGTACAATAAAATATATATATATATATATCAAAACTATATAACAACAGATATTTAAAAATTAATAATTATTAAATAGCATTTGGATCAGAAAATATAGGCCTGTTGGTAGTTGCTTCTATAACAATACCTCCAGCTCCAAAAATGGTCCTCAAAAATGGTCTCATCGATTCCAGAAGTCGTTGGGCCCTCACAGCTGAACTCTAATGAAAAATAAATTATATTAATATACATTTTTTGTTATTTATAGTATTTGATAGACAGTATGTAAGAAAGAGTTGCCTATCTGTTTAGAGAAGAATTTAAACAAGAAAATAGACTAAAAATTGTCGCGACATTGACTGTGAATAGCTTTATTAATGGTTTTAAAGAAAAAAAGTGGCTATTTAATAGCATTTATAAATACAGTATGCAATAGTTGTCTATATATTTGACTGAATCATTTGTCTAAATTTCTATATAAAAAAGGTATTACTACATAAATTTTTAAAATTATAAACAATAAAACTTTATAAGTTTGCAAAGAGTGTGCATAGGGGTATTAATAGATTTTAGAGAAGAAAATAGACCATTTAATAGCATAGAATTTTCTATCTGTACAACGTGTAATAGTTGTCTATCTCTTTGACTGAATTATCTGTCTAAATTTCTATAGAAAAAAGGTATCACCACATTGATTTTAAAAATTATAAACAATTAAAAAAAAACTTTATAAGTATGCAGAGCGTATGTATAACGCAATATTAATAGATTTTAGAGAAGAAGATAAACTATGTTTAATATCATAGAATTGTCTATTTGTTTAATTGAATCATTTACAAGACTTTCTATAAAAAAAAAAGATCGCGACATTGACAGTGAATATCTTTATTAATGATTTTAGAGAAGGAAAGTGGCTATGTTTAATAGCATTGGAAATACAATGTGTAATAGTTGTCTATCTCTTTGACTGAATCATCTGTCTAAATTTCTATAGAAAAAAGGTATCACAACATTGATTTTGAAAATTATAAAGAATTCCAACAAACTTTATAAGTGTGCAGAGCGTGTGTATAGCGGTATTAACATATTTTAGAGAAGAAAATAGACTATGCATAACAGCATAAAATTGTCTCTCTGTTTAACTGAATCATCTACAAGACTTTCTATAGAAAAAAGTGTCGCGACATTGATTATGAATAGTTTTATTAATGTTTCAGAGAAGGAAATTTAATAGCATTGAAAATACAACGTGTAATAGTGGTCTATCTCTTTGACTGAATCATCTGTTTAAGTTTCTATAGATAAAAGGTATCACAACATTGATTTTAAAAATTATAAACAATTTTAAAAAAACTTTATAAGTATGCAAAGCGTGTGTATAGGGGTATTAATAGATTTTTAGAGAAAAAAATAGACTATGTTTAATAGCATAGAATTGTCTATCTGTTTAACTGAATCACCTACAAGACTTTTTATAAAAAAAAGTGTCGCAACATTGACTGTGAATAGTTTTATTAATGATTTTAAAGAAGAAAAGTGGCTATGTTTAATAGCATTGGAAATACAGTGTGTGATAGTTGTCTATTTCTTTGACTGAATCATTTGTCTAAATTTCTATAAAAAAAAGTATCACAACATTGATTTTAAAAATTATAAACAATTCGAAAAAAAAACTTTATAGGTATTAGATAAAAACATAGACTATGTCTAATAGCATAGAGATGTCTATCTATTTAACTGAATCACCTACAACACTATAAAAAAAAGTGTCGCGACATTGACTATAAATAACTTTATTAATGGTTTTAGAGAAGGAAAGTGGTTATGTTTAATAGGATTGGAAATACAGTGTGTAATAGTTGTCTATATATTTGACTGAATCATTTGTCTAAATTTCTATAGAAAACAGGTATGACTACATTACTTTTTAAAATTATAAACAATTCAAAAAAAACTTTAAAAGTATGCACAGCGCGTGTAAAGGGGTATTAATAGATTTCAGAAAAGAAGATAGACTATGTTTAATAGCATAGAATTGTCTATCTGTTTAACTGAATCATCTACAAGACTTTCTATAGAAAAAAAGAAGTGTCGCAACATTGACTGTGAATAGCTTTATTAATGGTTTTAGAGAAGGAAAGTGGCTATGTTTAATAGCATTGGAAATATGGTGTATAATAGTTGTCTATATGTTTGATTGAATCATTTGTCAAAATTTTTACACAAAAAAGGTACCACAACATAGATTTTAAAAATTATAAACAATTCCAAAAAACCTTTATAAGTATTAGTAGAAAAGAAAATAAACTATGTTTAATAGCCTAGAATTGTTTATCTATTTGACTGAATCATCTACGATACTATCTATAGAAAAAATGTGTTGCGACATTGACAGTGAACAGTTCTATTAATGGATTTTAGAGAATGAAAGGGGCTATGTTTAATAGCATTAGAAATACATAAAAGTGGTCTATTTGTTTTACTGAATCATTTGTGTAATTTTCTGTAGAAAAAAGGAATCACAACATTGATTTTAAAAATTGGAGACAATTTCAAACAAATTTGTGAGTATACAGAGGTGACTTGGGGTATTACTAGATTTTAGAGAGGGAAAGAGGCTGTGTTTAATAAAATTGGAAAAACAGTATAAGAGTTGTCTATCTGTTTGAATTTCTTTTAAAATAGGTATCCCGACATTGAATTACAAATAACTTTGTGAGTAAGCACGTCATGTGAATAGGAGTATTGATGGGGCTGAGAAAAGGAAAGAGGCTTGATGTTGGTAATGAGGTTAAAGATGGAAAAGTTATTTGAGGGGAAGAATAAGATGATGACGGTGATGGAGAAGATGATAAACCAGATGGATATTGATGAAGAGGATATTAATAAAGAATAGTTAAGAGATAGGAAATATAAAAGATAAAGTCAATAGCAAAGTAAAGAACATTGGTAAAAGTTAAAAAGAATTGATTTAGAATTTCGGCAGGAAATAAAAATGTTAAAGATGGATACCAATGAAAGATTAAAACCAACTGAAAGGGATGTTAGGGAGGAAGTCGTCAGCAAAATAGAGGAAATAGAAAAGGTGCAGAATGGTAAAATTAAATGCGTGATAGGAAAAGAGGTTGATAATAACTTAGGAAAGGTAAAGGAACCGTTAGATAATGTTAATATGAGATCAGAAGAGTTAATAAAACCATTTAACTTCTATTTCATCTACACGTAATTGTAAATAAATGTGCATAGTGTTAGATCGGTAAATAAATCACAAAAAGTCAAAGATTATTATTGCTACTATAATCACTAAAATAAAATATATATGTATAATTTGTGTGCTTACCATCGCATAATCTCCAACTCTTGTCGACAGATTCGTAATTAAAGTGAAAGTACTTCCGAACAGCTTGTCGGGAAGTTCCAAAGATACAGGTTCACCCGGTTTGAAAATTACAGCGTCTGGTGTAGTTGTAGGTCTCCTAGTTGGCTTGGGTAGGTCCCAGGCGAATCCTTTCGATGCGCTTACCGAAGATGATGGCTAAAAATATAGGATATATCTTTAATTGTGTCACTAAATTTATATAAACTTACTAGGAGAAGCAAGTGGTGAGGTTGGTGGTATAGCTCTAGAGATGATTTGATGGCTGGGAGGAAAAGAAAAAGAAAGAAATGGCAGTTCGAATGTTTGGTAAAAATAGATAAAATAATAAAGAGGAACAAACAGCTTTAGAAACATACAAATGACAATGTAAAGAGAGTGTTAGAACAAGGAGAGGAATTATACTTAGCATTCATTGACCTGGGAGCGGTTTTAGATGCACTAAAAAGAGATGGAAAGTCTTGGAAGACTTTAAATTGCAAGATTTAATAAATATAATTAATAGCACATATTAGACTGCTAAAGTACAGATAAGAGGTCAAAAATATCGGAAGGGTTTTTAATGGAAAATTATATAAAATAAGGAGATAGAGTAAGTCAAGACAATAACAATAATAGGATATAGAAATTTTGAACTAATTCGAATAAGCAATTTGCTATATGAAAATGACGTGGTACTTAAAGCAACATCAAAAATCAAAATGCAAAAACTAATGAACATATTTACAAGAGAAATAGAAAATATGAAAATGGTTGAAAACGAGAAGACCAGACATATTTTGGGATTCTAAAGAGAGAGAATCTATCAAAATAACACTTAACAAACTTTGAATAATAAAGTAAATAAGATTTTGACTTAACCTTACCATCTATGGTTGCTCAAAATCTAAAAGAATAAACATTTTTTTGACAGTACCAATCAATTAGGCGTAGCTCATTATACAAAAGTCTAAATTTTTGTTAAATTTTCTTAAACTATGTAGAGAATATCATAAGTTTTCCATAATGCCAATTTATTACCCGATATTTTGAAAACCCCTGTACTTATTTTAGATTCTTAATGGGTATGAAATAGTTCAACTGTTCTCTAATTAAACCAACACTGTATCTCTTACCGTTTAGGATATCCCAATGGTATACACTAAGAGTGACCACCCTCTATACAGGATGATCAGTATACATAGATAAAAGCAAAGTAATGATTGTAAAGAAAGAGAAACAACCTATAACTAAGAAAAGGCAAAAGGATATAAGAAAGAAAGATATAAAATTAAATTGCTAGTTATTAAGTCAGTTTTTTTAAATATTAAAAGGAACACAAAAAATTAAAAGTCCAAAATGGAAGAAAAAATATTTACAATAATTACTAACAATTTTTTACCAAGAAAATGTTTTGAACCTCTGTAATGTTTATCCTTGAGTATATTTTTATTCTTCTCCTTTTTTGGCAGTTCTGTTTGATATTTTTTTATAATTTGATCCAATACTTCTTATTTTAAACTTCCTAGTTACAATATGCCAATGGATCACTGCCTGTCTAGAGATTTTATCCAGTCTAGGAAAGGCAACCATACAGGCAAAAGTTACACGGGACTGCACACAAGGAGGAATATTATCTCCAAATGCTGTGGTGAGTTCTTGTGGACGACTTACTCAAAACATTGTCCAAAGAAGACTACCAGTGTCTAGGATACGCAGACGACCTAGCAATTATCGTCAGGAGGTGATTTGCAGGCACAGCCTCGGAGCAATCTCAAACAGCTCTAAACTTAGTGAACAACTGGTGCAAACAAGAACAATTGTCCATTAACGCACAAAAAAAAACACAAAAAACGGGTACTTATAGGACTAAGACTACAGTACTAAACAACATAGTTATCCCATTCGTCACAGAAGCCAACCTAGGGAGTCATATTTGACCAACGGCTGACCTGGAATCAACATCTCAAAAAACTCACATACAAAACTGCAATAGTTTTCGTAAGCTGTAGAAGAATATATGGGAAAAACTGGGGTCTAAACCCCAAAATGACCATATGGTTATACACAAGGGTAATAAGACCCATGATAACCTATGATGCAGTGGCGTGGGTAACCCAAACTGCGCAGGCAAGTGCAATAGGGCAACTGACTGGCATTCAGCGACTTGCTTGTCTAAGTACTACGCCGACTGCAGCAATGGAGGTAATATTAAATCTCACATTGTACATCTTTATACAAGGAGAAACCGGATCAAATATTCACAGGCTAAAAGGATAATATTCTAGCTGTGCCTACTGATACAGCCATAACCACATACAAATTTAAAATAAATTTTCAAATTCAAATACCAGCCCGAAAATCCTGGAAATAGGGACCTCCTGTACAGACTGAACTCGTCTGGTACACAGACGGTTCAAAAACCAAGGAAGGAGTCAGTGCTGGAATCTATGGACCAAAGTCGAAAACAACGATTTCGCTGAGTTTAAGAAAATATGCAACAGTGTTCCAAGCTGAGCTAATTGCAAGTGCAAGAGAAATATTAAATCAGCAAGTATCAGACAAAACTATTGCCATATACTCTGATAGCCAAGCAACTCTAAAGGCAATTCTCTCACCAGAAATTGGTGAAAAACTGTCTAGAAGACCTGACAGCGCTAAGTAGTCAAAATATGGTGACCTTAGCCTGGGTTCCAGGCCATGAGGGATATCAGGGCAACCTAAATTAGCCCGAAAAGGCTCAGATAAGGCCATGATAGGCCCCGCACCTTTCTGTGAAGTTGCTAAGGCATTGTGCAAAAAGACAATGGATGCAAAAAGAGTCTCAGAAATGGTGGAAGAACTATCCAAGACTGAGACAGGCCAAACAGTTCATCAAGGAACCATCGGCCAAGTTCACGAACGACCTACTGGATCAAAAGCGTCAAATCGTAAGAATAACAGTGGACCTTCGTACTGGACACTGTCGCCTCAAAAGGCACATGAGTGTCATCAATCCAGCAGAAGAAGCAACTTTGTACATCATTCCACGTTCTGTGCCAATTTGAAGGCCTGGCTGGAATGAGGTTTCTAACATTGGGCGAAGAAAAGCCAAACGCATCCAACTACATGCGGCATCCACTGTCAAAGCTACTAAGTCTAATAAAAAAAGACCAAGCTAGACGACATACTCTAAAACGAACGGAGTCTTACAATAGATCTTCCAATCTAATCTACTTATTTTCTCCAGTTAGTGAGAAACCACCTCTGTATCTTGTTTCATCATCAGAAATTAAAAAATTCGCCTATTATATTTTTCATTAATACATATATTTTCTTTTCTCAGAATTTTACCTTGTTTAGATTAATTAATTTTAAAAACAAATCGACAAAATGTTAATATTTTCATTATATTTGCACAGTATTATTCAACATTTCATTAGCCCGAGAAATTGTGTTTAATTTAAAATTAACACTGCTAGTTTAAGCCTAAAGGTAAATGCGCTAATTGGAATATAAATTGTCTATTTGAAACACGATCTGGATCATTTATTGAATAATTATCACCTGTTACTCTTTATTAAAGGTACTTATTAGTTAAATTAGTTTTAAACTAATTAAAATAAATACATGAATAGTATCTAAACTAAACGGGACATTTTATAAATTTAACCTTAAACTTTGATCGTTAAAAATAATTAATAATCATCAAAATAGTGTCAAATTTTATCTAATTATTTGTTAATTGGGATCAAGAGTGAGCTGTTTTCACCCATTTTAATTTAACATTTTTCTATGACTCCTCTTCTTCATAGGTTAAAGGCCTTTTTTGTTTGACATTTAGATTAGATGACATTTTTGACTATTGACATATGTGAAGTTGATGTTTTGACAATATATCAACAGAGCTATTGTCGCGCTTGCGCAGTTTTAAATAAGACACACCCTCTTCATACTGTCGTTTTTCTCGTTAACTAATAATAACAGAGATATTATTTAATACCTTTTTGACTATTTTTTTAATCCCCCAAATACTGTGTTATGTTCTTTTCTAAAATAAGATTGCTACCAGTTACTACCTAATCGCTGCTCGAAATTCTTAAACCGCTCCTCGTATTTGTGGGTCTTGACTTCAATTCAAGGCATGTGACGTGAAGACTTTTGATTTAAGCTTATTTGTTTAGCTCCATTACTAATTCCAAATTCTCAATACTTTTTCGATTAGAAAAAGTAGAAATAAAAGCTAGCATATTATCAAATTCAACTGCTGGCAGAAGAATAACAGCAAGACCTGTTGTATTATAAATAAATGTATATATTTAAATACAGATTTTTAAAGTACGCAAGTTGTGAAGATCCAAAACCTTTTTTATTCCCTACAAAGTTTCACTACATTTGGCGCCCAACGTGGCGCCATGTAAAGAACAGCGATTATTTGGCTTTCAACCAATAGATTTGATGAGAATAAATTAGATTATCGTATAGAATCCTTTTGGAACAAGAACTAAAACGTTCAAAAAAGATAGTAGTAACTGGATTAAATAAAGAAAGAAGAATTTTAAAATAATGATAAATGTTTGAAATCTTTTTTTTTAATCGAAAACATCCTAAAAACCTCAATTTTGAATTGTTTATCTTCATTATGTGCTTCTTTTTTACGTAGCTTAATGGTGATATTGTACTAATATCGTAAAAAAATTTAAAGGACGCAATAAAGATTAAGAATGAATAAATACTTTTGGGACAAGAGCAAGAACTAGAAAGTTAAAAAAAAAGATAGAAACAACTGGAATAAATAAAGAAAGAAGAAGAAATTAAAAAAGGGAAAAGATGCCATAATGGCAAATGTTTGCAATATTTTTTTAAATCGGAAACATCCTAAAATCCACACGTTCGACATTCTATACGGGTAAACTGTAAATTAAACCAAATACATATTTTCTAATAACATTTTTATTTAACTTATATTTACAAAATCTACAAAAAAAAGTTTACAATGATTACCGAAATATATACAATAATTTTAGAATTACAAAAATAAAAAAATATTACAAACAAATATACCATAGGCAAAATTTTTACAAAAAAAATATATATAATGGCATAAATCAACAAATAAAATAATAAATTAACTACTTAATAATTTTAGGGTGAAGAAAAACTTTGGACAAACTTTTAAGAGTCACTGGTAATGCAATAAT